TAGTTCAGGCTGGCCTTGAACTATGTAGTTGGGGCCGGGCTTGAACTCACACAGTCCTCTGCCTCAGCCTCCTGAGTGCTGGGATCACAGGCGTGCGCCACCATGCCTGGCATATTTGTTGCTTTGCTCAGGGTTTTTTTGGTTTTGTTTTGTTTTTTGAGACAGGGTCTCATTGTGTAGCCCAGGCTGACCTTGAACTCACTGTGATGCTCCTGCCTCAGCCTGAGGGCTGGGGTTACAGGCAGGCGCCACCACCGTGGCTACATGCACTTTACTTATGTATTTATTTATTTTGGCACTGGGAATCAAACTTAGGACCTCGCGCTTGCCAGGCAGGCGCTGTGCGGCTGAGCGGGAGCCCCTCACCTCCCTTCCCACTTCCACCAGGCCTCTGTCTGGTTCCTATCATCCGGCTTTTGTTGTGCTCTTTACATTACTTATACTTTGGGTTTCTTGTATAAGAGAAATACTGAAGCTTCTCTGCCTGATTTACCTCACTGAGCACTGTGGGCTCCAGGTGTACCATCTGCACACAGAGGACTCGCGGTGACCCTTCAGGGCCAGGAGCCCTCTGCCGTGCATACAGTGGATGCCACGCTGCATGTCTGCCTTCCCCATTCGCCTGTTGGCCGCTTCCAAGACTTACCTATCGGGAGTTGTGCTGCTATAAACAGCCATCCCCTTTTTCATGATTATAAAAACAGCACAAATCCAGTGCAGTGGCTGGCACCTGTATTCCCAATAATTTGGAGGCTGAGGCAAGAGGATCCTTTGAACCTGGAGTTCAAGGCCAACCTGAGGAACATATTGAGGCCCTGTGTCCAAAACATTAGGTCTAAAAATGTAGTTTAGGGATAGAACACTTGCCTGGCATGTGTAAGTCCCTAGGTTCAACCCCTAGCACCAAAAAATAAAAATAAGGTCAGGCGTGGTGGCACATGCCTGTAAATCCCAGCACTCCAGAGGCTGAAGCAGGAGGATCACCACAAGATTGAGGCCACCCTGGGCAACACAGTAAGTTCAAGGCTAGCCTGCCCTATCAGCTGAGACCCTGAGTCAAAAAAACTTAAAAAAAAAAAAAAAAAAAAAAAAAC